TTTCCAAGGTAATTCCTATTCCAATCATATTTTATCACAAATAAATTGGATGGTTTCTGCATTTGTATGATAAAACAGGAAAGACTCTTACACTTGGATTGGTGAAGTAAATCCATCTGTGATCAATGTCACATAAAATCATTTACATCACAAAACACAATGAAGCATCAACATCAAAACATTAAAAATGCATGTGTGATCAATACCATTCTTCAAATAAGATGTGCAAGTCACTTCAATCTCACAAAAAAGAAACAAGACTTCAAAAAGTCAAAGAAAACCCTTGTCCATTTCCAAGTATCCCAAATAGAAGAGACATCAAAATGCTATGCATAATATTTTACCCTCTCTTTTGGCCCCTCACTACTTAGAAAACTGCCTGCTCTCTATAAACAGACTGAAAATGAGGCTCATTTCACACAAGGTGCGGGCTAAGCCAGTGAAGTTGTTGTGGAACACTCCCTGTCCCTGTCACACATTTTGCCCCTCATGGGCCCTGAACATACCATTTTCTTCTCTCAAAGCTTGGTTATATAATTGTGGGTAAGACCTGGGATCTGCCCTATTGAGCTGGGCCACATGCTCTAGGAGTTTCATCTGGGTGGTTTCAGCATGGGCTCTTGGACCCCATAGGAACTCATAGCGAGCGGGATCACTATTAGGAACCCGCTGGTATACCAGGTACTCTTCCCGCACCAAATCCTCTGTGATGAACTTCCAGGGCTCCCCAATAACAATGTGCTCCCTCAGAGCTAACATCCCCCATTTTATCACTTGTTTCTTTAGTACCTTCTCACTGACTTGGTTGCCCCTCATGAAGACTGCAGTCAGGGTATATATCAAGAGGTCGAATTTGGCAATGATCTGGTCATCATCATCCAGTATGCCATTGTAAGTGAGGCCTAAAACAGGGACAAGGACATATGTATGTCCAGGGGGATCCACTTCCTTAACCTCAATACCAAAGCCCAGACATATGGACTCACAGAGTTCCCTGAAGGTCAGAAGGAGGTGCTCACGGTAATCATCATCTACAACATGAAGCATTTCTTCCAGGGTGGTCTGTTCTTTCTTTTGATACTTACAGAGCAGAAAGGACACCAACTTACGCAACTTATCATTTAGGAGCACATTGCGTAGGAACCGAGGAACGTCCATGTCCCATAAGGGTCTTGAACCCCGCTTTTCTTGTCTACTGGAACCCTCACTGCATTGATTTTTTTGACTGGAAACTGTGGCACTAGGGGGACAGGAGATGCCTTGAGAATTCTGAAGACAACTCAGTGTTCCAAGCCCAGGTGCTTCTCTTGGTGTTGTTCTGATTACATTATAAGAGGGACAGGATGCAGAGGAAGCAGTGGCTGCTGTTTCCTCCTCCACTGTCTCTTCGAGACCTTGCACATCAACGAAGACCTGTGCACCACTCTGGGTAGAATAGTCTCCCTCCAGGTTACTGTCTTGACTCCTCTGACCATGAGGCATCATGATGATCTGTGGGGACAGCAAGATCTTGTTACTGAAGACTCAGATACCTGAAGGAAAGAGGGAGTCTTTTAGTGTTCTGAGCCGAGAACAATACACCGGTAGCCTCCCACTAAGGTTTATTATAGGTCTTCTCTTTGAGGGGTGCTATAGGGCTTCAGAGGCTCCTGTCCTCCCTTATCCTTGTCCCCATGATCCTTTGGACATGAAATAAGGCTGCTCCTCAGGCTGCAGATGAACTGCAGAGGACCAGGCTCTAGGGCAGACAGTACAGCACATACAGTCTGGGGACTATGAGGTGTCCTTTCTCTGGGACAGGTGGAACCCTGAATACACATCAGAGCATGCACCTCACCTTGACTCCTGAGCCTCCTCTCTTGTGTGACCGGAGGACACTGCCTCACACCACGACCTTTGCCACCTGGTTCCCGGAGCTCCTGCAAGATGCATGGAGGGTCCCTCAATCTGTAGTCTACAGCCACAGTGACTGTATCCCAGCCCTTGCAGGACGGATGTGCTGGACTCTTAGTTTCCCCCTGTTCTGGGTGAATGGTCCTTTCTCTGCTCATGTGGGGCCCTCAAATGTCTTTGAGTAGTGCCCGGAGCCCTGCTGGCTAGGGACCTGAGACAAACTCTCAAAAAAGATGTCTACCTCCTTGAGAGGGAACAAAAGTCTGTAAGGGGGATACACATCTTGCCACTATTCCCTGCACCCAAGAGCTACAGGTAAAACATTTCAGTGGGGTCCATGTGCCCTAGAAAACTGTTATATCTTTATCTTGATAAATTATTAGGTCTTTGAATCTTCCTTCAATGACTTGGGGCCATCTTCTTTAAACTACCACAATATCACTGTGAGAAATTCAAAGAGAAAGTGGGGGGGACTCAAGTCCTAGGTCTGACAACAGGTTACAAAAGGGACAGGCTGAGGCTAGAATACTGTGTTTTCAGGTGAGTGGGTTCACTTTGCCTCACCTAGACCCTGTGTTCCTAATTCTGCTTTCATGTTTTTAGCACGCTTGTACCAAGGCCTTGACCTCACTGAGACCAGTGACCTGACAGCCAAGCCCAGGCTACCTGGAATGATGGCAAGCTGAGGTCTGATGTCAGATGACCACAGACCTGTCTGTGTTCAGGTAGGAGTACACAAAATCCTTCCTTAGGATCTTCACCTTGACTCTTGGAAGGCTCTGGGACACCTGTGGATCTCCTGAACAGGTGGAGTTCCTTGTGACAATCTCAGGCCCAAACTTATATTGAGTCCACCACCTCACTGAAGTCTCTAGGATTCTCAGATGAACTGAGCAGGCACCCATGCTGTCACCCCTATATAGGGACATCAGTGCTGATGGCAAGGCCAGTGCCCATTTCTCCTGTGATTCAGAATCCCTCTTCCAGGTTAAATATAGATTTTTCCCCAAAGTCCCATGGTTCTATATGCAGGACCCTTGGAAAGTGATTGGATTATGGAGGCTTATGGCTGTCATGAGGCTGGGCCATTTAGAAAGAGGAGGGTCACTGTGGGTGTGACAGAACAGGGTTTATCTTCCTTCCTGGAATCTGGAGTCTCCCTTTGTGCTCTGCCTCCTGAAAGACTTGTGGTTAGGAGCTTTTCTCCCACCAGGCCCTTCTACTATGGCTGACTATGGACTGAAAACTCCTTAAGTTATTAGCACATATCAACTTTCCTTCCATTAAACTGCAGGTGTCAGGTATTGTGTCTCAGAAATGAGGACACGAGCAAGGCATCTGCTATGTGCTTCTGAAGTTTCTCCATCTTCCTCCTTCCTAGGCCTGCACTCCCTTAGCTCCACTCCTCCTAAGACCTAATCTTCCCATTGGAGACCTAGACCTTATCTCCCTGAAGATTCCCTTCCAGCCTGGAGCAGAAGTTAGCATGCCAGTTAAGAGTCTCTCAGGCCTGACACAGGGAGCAGGCAAACTTTGTGGGGTCTATTATTTTTGTGCTGCAGACTTCAGTCCTCATGCAAGGCCCATCTATTGGGTGTGTCAACTCCTGTGATCCTCCATTTATTAACCATATGTATCTCTCTCTACTCACTTTTGGACCAAGGTTCTCACCTCTGCAAGTCCTCCCACCTGCAACCACTCAGTAGAATGGCGATCTCTTTATACACAGCCACCCTCACCAAGATCTCCAGGCTGATAACAGGGTAGAAGCCAGGCTCTGTGGGGTCCCTTTGCTTCTGGGCATGACATAGCTTCAAACCTTCAATGCTGGAAAACAGAGTGGTGAGCCATAACCGCTCAGCTACTCCAAGGTTCAGAATCCAGGCTCTGGAAATCACTATTGAGGAAGAGGAAAAAAGGAGAAACAGAAAGAAGTAGATCCCCAGGAATCCTGAATGACCTGATATGAAATTTGAAAACTACAGAGAGTTCTGTGAACATTAGCCAGAGCAATTAGACCGACAGAAATAAATAAAAAGAATAAATTTAGGAAGGGTAGAAGCTAAGGAACCATTATTTGCTGAAGACAAGATACTCTACACAGAAGACCACAAAAACTCCTAGAATTTATAATCAAATTTATCAGTGTACCAGGTTACAAAGTTAGCACTCAAAAATCAATAGCATTCATGGACATGAATAACAAATTCACTGAAAGATAAATTAGAGAAACCATACCTTTCACAATAGCATCAAGACAAATGAAATACTTAGGACTCAATTTAACAAAGGAAGTGAAATACATATCCCCTGAAAACTACAATGCTCTTGAAAAGGAGATTGAAGAGGATATCAGAAAATTGAATGATATCCCCTTTCTTGGATAGGCAGAACCAATATTGTGAAAATGGCCATACTTCTAAAACTGTTATACAGATTTAGAGCAATCCCAATCAAAATACCAATGGCATACATCACAGAACTGGAGAAAACAACCACAAAATTTCTATGGAACCAGAAGAGACCTAGAACAGCAAAAGCAAATCTGGGCAACAACAGCAGTTCAGGGGACATCACAATTTGAACTTATGCTACAAAAATACTGTAATAAAAACACCATTGTACTGACTAAAAAATAGAAGGATCAATGGAACAGAATAGAAGATGCATGAAGCACTATAAACACAGTCAGCTACCATATCTTTGACATAGGGGCCAAACACCTTCACTGGAGGAAGGACGGCCTCTTTAACAAATGGTGCTGGGGAAACTGTCTTTCCACATGCCAAAAATTCAACCTAGATGCCTATGTCTCACCGTGCACTAAATTAAAATTGAAATGGATCAAGGATCTAATTATAAAAGGAGAAACAATCTGCTGGAAGTTAAAATGGTAAAGCTCTTGAAAATATAGGTGTAGGCATAGATTTTATGAACAAAAATTCAATCCCACAGGAAATATTTGAAAGAATCAACAAGTGGGATGAAATTAAATTAGAAAGTGGTTGCACTACAAAAGAAACCACAGAGTGAAGAGATAATATCCAGAATGGGATAAAAATATTACCATCTATTCCTCAAACAAAAGACTAACATCCAGAATATATAAAGAACTAAAAAAATCATTCCCCCTTAAATTTAAAGACCCAATCCAAAACTGAGCATCTCAAATGAATAGACAAATAAATATATGAAAAAAATGTTCATCACCACACTGGTCATTGGAGAAATACAAATTAAAACACAGGAATTCTGTAAAGTTGTACAGATAAAGAACCCTTCTCCTTTGCTGCTGGGAGTGTAAAATGATACAACCATTGTGGAAATCACTATGGAGATTCCTCAAAATACTAAAATTAGAGGTTCCAGTTGACCCAGCTCTTCCCCTTCTGGGTACCTCCCCAAAAGAATTAAAAGCATGCATATCCATGTTTATAGCAGCACAACTTATAATAGTTAAATCTTGGCAAAAGCCTCTGTGGCCATCAACAAATGAATGGATAAAAAATGTACTTATATACAATGAAGCACTACTTTTCCACAAAGAAAGATACATTTGTATCATTTATAGGAAAATGGATGCACATCAAGACCACAATCTTAAGTGAAATAAATCAGACACACAAGTTTAAATATCACATTGTCTTGTGTGAGAATCACAAAGAGTAAATGAGGAACACAGTGGGAGATTAAATATTAGGAAGTAGGAAGGAAACGTTCCTATAGAAAGAGGAACAGGGAAGGGAGAGAGGGAAGAAAAGAAAGAAAGAGAATCAAAAGAGAAAAATGGAAACAAAGCTTTTATAAATAGGGAGAGAAAGAAGGCTTGAAGGAAAGGAAAGGGAATAAGGAAAACAGAAGTAATATAACACATAAAGGTACTAATTCCCTATAGTGCATGCGATCAACATGTATGACAAATATGTACAGATAAAAAAATACAGCTAATAAAATGAAAAGTATAGAGACTCTTTCCAAGATTTGGCTACTATGAACTGTACTTATATACAATGGAATACTACTCTGTCACAAAGAAGCATAAACTCGAGACATTTTTAGGTAAATGAATGTGCCTCTAGATCATCATCTTAAGTGAAGTAGATTCAAATACAGCATTTTTTTCTCTTGTGGAAAAAATCAAAAGTATTATCAAGAAGCAAAATTGAGGATAAATATAAGGAACTGGGAAGCTTTGTTCAAATAAAAAGATGAATGGATAGAGAAAATGTGGAGTGTGGGACTCAGAACAGCCACAAGACAGATTCATTTCAGAGTTTCCAGTGTTACCCTCCCGTACTGAATTGGTGGGAGACATTCTCGGAACCAGCTGTAGATGGAGAGTGGACTGAAAACAGACACCTTCAGTGTTTTTACCTCTGCTGGGAAGGGCACAGGCCCTGCCCTGGTAGCCAGAGGTCAGGCACAGCCTGAGTTGCTCTAGTTTTGAAAATCTAAAGCATTGATAATTTGAGCCTTTGTAGAAGCT